AGTTCGGAATCGAACCAATCGCTCTCCCCAATTATCAACCTTGTCGTCTTGAACCTGTGTAGCTGATTCCAAAGTTTACATTCCAAAGATCCACTTCAATCAGAGAGCAAATGACAGAATCAGAGAAATATGACCTTTTATACTCAAGGACAGGTGTGATCATCTGAGCTGCTGGACGAATGGAGATCCTTTGTCGTGAATAATTTTTTTCCTCCTTTTCAGAGTTTGTCTTAAGCCATGTTTCTCTAAACGTGGCTTGTAAGAGAAAACAAGCTCAAACTTGATGTAGTGCTACCAACAAAGCACTACATACAAAGGCGCTAAGCCTTTGAAGCATGGGAAATGGAGTAGTTTAAGTGATAATAGATTTCTCTGATTATGAAGCATGTACTTGCATCAGTAGATGTGGATTTTATTATATGTAGATATTACGTTAATCCTCATAACAGATGTCTAACGCCACAAGTCTAAATAGTTCACTAAAAAATTTACTACTTGCTAGCTTCAGAAAATGCACCGAACATCAAATACTAGGCTAGGCTACTCAACGTCCATGGGAAATGTTTCCGCCATACACTCTCTTGTTTTTGCCATCCACAAACTCCTGGCAATGCCGTTCCGCCTTGCAGACAATTCTTTTGCAATTTTACCTCCAGTTGTCATTGAAATTTGAAATTCTCTTGCGATCTCCTGTTTGAAGTACTCCAATGTTTCTCGAGAGTTGTCTTCAATTCCAGCAAGGCTATGTAAAGCATGGTTAGCCACTGCAAGCTTCTCTTGTCTCGCAGGACCCGAAGGTGTCATAAGTGACAATCCATTGTGCACTTCATCTGATGCCTCTTGCAACCACTCTGTTTTCCAGAAGTTGTCTCCTAGGATGATGCACATGTTATGTAACACAAGGCAAGTACTCACCAACTCAGGCATGTTCTTCAGTTTCACGTCAACTCTTTTTAACAATATTCGCCACCTACCCTTAAGCATTCCAAATGCTCGCTCAATGCACATACGAGTGGAACTCTGAACAAAGTTCCAGTTGTATTCCTCTTGAGTTAGCCCGTCTTTGTGACCTCTGAAGGGAGCTAACATCCAAGGGCGGCATGGGTAGGCCGCATCCCCAACCAAAGCATAAGGCGCAAGCTTTCCAGCTTCGCAAAATTGCCCAATTGCGGTTCTTCCCCATAAGTTAGCGTCATGCATGGATCCGGCCCATCCTATGTCAAAATCCCAAAATAGGCACTTGCTAGATACAACACCCTGCAATAGTATAGAGTGAAATCCTTTACGATTGTAATAATCAGCCGCACGTAGACTAGGTGCCACAATTGATATGTGAGAACCATCCACCGCACCAACCACATACGGTATTCCATGAATATCTTCAAACTCTCTAGCAAATTTATCCATAGTGATGGTGGAAGGCCACCGAATGAATCTCTTGAGAAGAAGCAATTTCACAGCATGAGTGAACTGATTAACAGCCTGCTGACTTGTTGAAAGACCAATCCTATATAAATCCGCAATGCTCTGCATAGAGTTACATGTGGCCAATCTTGAAATGGAGACTGCCACCTTCACTTGAACCGGTATAGCCGAGCGCATGTTGGTATCTTGTCTCTGCAATGAAGGCGCAAGGGTGGAACACAGGAACTCAAAATTGGAAACATCCATCCGCATGCGACTCTTGAACTCCCTCGCATTGAATGATCCGAGTAAATTTTGATCAAAAAACCCAGGTTCCCCCAACCCTCTATCATGGGCCCATAAATGTCGAGATCTTGTGACTCTCCCTAGTATTGATCTTTGCACCATAATCAAAATGCAATAGGTTTGATGCCAGTTCCACATCAAGATGATACTTTGATCTCTATCAAGAGATTTCATCGTGCAAAATAGAGTGAACTGCAATAAAAGAACGAAAATGAGACTATGGACGTCATTGTCCATTGTGACAATCTATGGAAAGAAGGTGAAGATGATTTAGGGTGCAAGAGTCTACTGTGAAAGTGAAGAAAATGAGCACTGAAGTTTAGGGATTCGGAGTAAGAGAGAAGACATGAAAAATTTTGATGTGATAGTTCTATCTTCTTCTCGCGAGGTGTCCTTTAGGTGTGAAGAAAGCACTTTAGGGCTTTCTTCACACGCCGATACCTCTCTTTTCACCCCTGCCGCTGCCGGCCGTGTGGTAGGCGTAGGCACCCGTTGTCCACCTGGACAAGGGGTGCTACGAAGATTCTTTCTTACCCTAGCCAGGAGCTCATTGCCGGCTGCCGGTAGTGCGGTAAGGGCCTGAGCAAGATCAGCACCAAGTCCACAACAGACTCAATAACATATCGGAGCATCCACGACAGCCTACTGTTTCTTGAGTACACAATGTCACATTCCGTACTTGGTGGAATACATGACCCGTTTCATCGAAGCTTCCACCACCTAGTACCTAGCCGCCGTGAAGCACATACTCCGTTACATCATTACGGCAAGGAAAAATATACATACAAATATGTAAATACATATGAGGAAAAATGTCTACGCTGACTTGGTTGGACATAGCAATAATGACATGACAAGTGACATTGACACTTGCAAGAGCGCCACTTGTGTGCTCTTTTTACTCAGCGAGAGCATTGTCAATTGGCAATCAAAATAAGGTGAAGGTTGTTGTTCTTTCTACGACGGGTTGGTTAGCTCGGCTTCTTGATGAATTGCAAAAGAAAGAAGCCAAGTGCATCGGTGCGAGGCTTTTCTACAAAACTCAAAAGGCTCACTTCTGTACACTCATGGCTTAGGTACAATATTTTTGATATTTTAAAAAAGAAGTATAAAGCATATGAAAGTTTCATCTGATATTTTGTGTTTTCATGAGCAACTTAATTCATGAAAAGAAATATGTTTATATGTTGACGTCGGATTGAGGACGTCGATACTTTTGATTCAACTACATGAAGACAACTTAAGTGAGAAAAATCGCTTCAGAGTGGTGACAATGTCTTCCCCACATGACGTTAAACGCATGATGAAGGTTGAATTGGCTACACAAACCAGTGAGCCGGGGATATTTCAATCAAGAAGGGCTATACGGTATCGCGATTCGGTTTTCATACAATTTTAAGAACGCTTCAAAAGCCGACTCATATTGAAAAGTATTCTCCCAAACTTTTTTCGTGATTGGGTCTGCGTACAATTGGAAAATTCACTATCTCAAGGATCGACTTAAAATGAAAATCACTTCACTATCTCAAGGATCGACTCAAAATGAAAATCACTCCGTCTATGTGAGGATATGTCTATATTGGAGAGAGATTTGCTTCATGGGACCCCATCCAAAAGTAAGTTGCTTGATAGTATCCATCGAGTTTCAATTTACCTGATGGGATCTCACGGACGGTGTGCCATCATTGAGTTCTAGTACGCTGAACACCGCTGCAGAAAGTTAATCGTTAATGCCGCGAGAACATATTCTCGCGGCATCCACTCCTCAAAATCTCGAGTCGAATAGATTTGGGTGCCCAAAGTTAAAATGTTCAAAAGTAAACGCTCAATCATTGCGATCTAGCAAACCTAAAAACCGAACCTTCCTCCTCCTGATGTCAACAGCGAACCGAGCTATTTTTTCATCTTCTCCACCTTGTCATCTCATTCTTCCCAAGAAAATGTTTCAGCAGGACCAGACTCTACTCACCTAAACGAAATATCATGTGCAAAAGTTAACACGAACTGTGACTCACGCACCGTTCTTGTCATCTCATTCTTCCCAAGAAAATGTTTCAGCAAGACCATACTCTACTCATCTAAACGAAATATCATGAGCAAAAGTTAACACGAACAGTGACTCACGCACCGTCCTCTGCTCATATTACAACCTTGTCATCTCATTCTTCCCAAGAAAGTGTTAGGGCAGGACCAGACTCTACTCAACGAACCTCTGCTCATATTACAACCTTGTCATCTCATTCTTCCCAAGAAAGTGTTACGGCAGGACCAGACTCTACTCAACGAACGTGGACGATAGGTGAATTCCCATCGGGTAAATTGAAACTTGATGGGCCCCATCATCCAAATTACGTTTGGATGGGATGGTATCTAAGAAAGTTAATGTAAAGTCCCTGATAATTTACTCGTTGGAAATAAAAAACACATAACAGAACTATTATAAATTAGTATTTATATTCTTCGTTTTAGAATCAGTGAATTCAGAACTTCGTATATGGATCGGAATGTGTACATTAATAATATATATTCTTTTTCTGCGCTTAGGTGGGTCCAATCCGCTAAAATGAATCGCGGTGGGGTCCCAGCTGGGTCCGCAGGGGACCCATGAAGTGAGTTTCTCGTGGATATTCAATAATCAATGTAACTCGATTGCAAACATTCAATATAATTACATCCTTACAGACATCTACTTATGATGTACATAAACAGTTACCTACTTACCATTGCAAAATACCATCGGGAAAATAACAAATAACAACTTATGCTTTCTGAAGTGCCCAAATTTACATCGATGCGGCTGAAAGGTTCAAATCTTCGCGGTTCATTCATGATTGGTATCCATACCTTCTCCGACGAAACCCACCACAACGACAATCTTTATCCTCTATGAGACTTCCTCACGGTTACAGGAAAAAACACCGCCCTGTTTAATTTCTGGTTCAAGTGGAATTCCACTTGAACCAGAAGTTACCAGTAAACCAATAAACCCGCCAAGAAGACTTGCAATGGCATGCTAACTTCAAGTTCCGATGACTTCTTCCAGCTCCTTCTCAAAGTTTCATCACCGATAAAAGACAAGTTCAGTCCAACACTTTCCACATAACGCCAATAAAACCAAGTTATTTCAGGTAGAACGCCATCTAGAAAATATGACCCACAAGCAAACTGCGACTAACACATCAATCTACGAGGGTAATAAAAACGAAGATCCAAACTTTCAATTTGAACTAAATTAACCCGGAAAATAACCACTAATTCCACACTCAACGTAAGCTAAAACCCAAGAGAATGGGGAATCAAAACCAACTGGACGAATGAGCTTTCATACTTGCAATAGAAACGTAGATGATGATTCATCGCACCAGCTTCTACAGCAAGAGCGCTCAAGCGCTCGCAATTATATAAAAAAGACTCTTCTTTTCATAGCTTCCCATCAACACTGCAGTGTACTCTAAAACAAAACAGAAAGTTTCGGTGACTATTCTGCGACCTAACTACAAATAACTAGCGTGGTGCCTGCAGCTAGTCTAATAGAACATTTGAACGGGACCGACTAATTAGAAGAATCAAACAATGACGAAGCGGACGCAGTTGTTCAGTCAGCATGCACATAACAAGAAGGACCGACAACGAAGGAAATCAAAGACATAAGAAAGATACAAGGAAGCACTGCCAGCAGGTATTGTAGATAGAGATTCAGTCAAAGTGTCTTCAGCAAAGTGTTGGCGGCCAGACAGCGGGAAACAGAAGATATATTAGATGTACCCCGACAACAAGGGGTGAGGGAGAGGGGACACGGGAGATGACGATTCTTATCTACCTACAAATCAGCGCTTGCCTTTCTTACTCCAGTAACACTATAATCAGAACCTCTAGCCACCCGCCCCACCTGCCCTACATGCCTGTCTGAGATGGACGTTGCATTACAACCTCCAACCTACTGAGCTCAAAATTTTTTACAAAATTAATGTACACAAACGAACCCTTGATTCGTCCCATCGACGACAAAGATTCAGACTCTCAGCCTCGACGCTTGCTGAGACGCCATGAATTGGGTTCATGATATCGATCGTACAAAGGCTCGATCCGCTCTTGTCGCTTCCGCTTGCTGAGCTTGGTAGGATCCGCAACCTTAAAAAATCTAGGTGCTAGTTCAACTAACCATTTAGGGTCAATCAAAGTAACCTCGCGCATGTACTCCTTAGTCGTCATGACCAGCTCGTGATAGATAACCCAATCGGGCTGCCTTTGAAACAGGGCACTACTTGGGTGTATATAGACTGGTTGATTCTCCACAAGAGTCCGATATCCCTCTTGGGGATCTTTTCGGCCTGCATGAAAGAAGAAACCTGCACAAATCGCTTTCCGGATCCGAGTGAAATTCTTCCCCGCACTAACCACATCGAGCTTGTATCTGCAAACAACCGCAGTAAAAACCATCAGAATAGAGCTGAAATTTGAACATTGAGAGTAACTTTGCAATCAAGACACTGCAACGGTTGAATCAGACCACTCAATACAGCCTACCTTGAAGCTTCGTCCTTGCTTGCAAGTTAGTTCAATTGAAACTAAACGTTACAACCCTTTTCTACTGTGAAATTGCAAAGAAAAGGTTCGATGGAGACCAAACGAAGGCTTAAGCGATAAAGATTCAAAAACAGAAGGCAGCAGAAACTGGCACTGAACAAACGAAATCTACAGAGACCCTCATGCTTGGTTCATGCAGAAATGCACAACGCAGAACAGAGGACAGCTCTCGTCGCAAACACACGGTCCTTACAGCAAACAGCAGAACTCAAGGGAATGCACCATTCACAAGAGGAAAAAGCCAGAGAGCATGAGACAACATTGACTGTCCACAACCTTCATCAGAAAAAATGGCCGGCTGCATTTTGTGAACCTAGATCCGTAAAAAGTTCTCTTAGCAGTATATATTTCATGAGATTTTCAATAAAAAGTAACATGGTCCTTACTGCAGGGGGAAAGCGTTTACTCATCGAATGGTGCCCACAGAAGTCCAGTGACCTCGACAACTGAAGTGTGCTGTCCATCGAGTCAATACCGCCGTTCTATTGACTCATTCCACACCTTTGATTACATCTTCTATGTTTCCTACTATGAAGAGTCGCATCTAGGGTTTAGTAGAGTGCTTTCGAACAGACCAGAAGGTTGACCAGGACAGGTAGAACGTAAGGATAGATAACAAATGGACAAATACAGTAACGAAAATGAAAACATCGAAGTAACTTTCGCTTGAATAAGAAGTGTATGGACACGACCAAAGTGGGAGATCATGGAAGACAAAAATCCATCCAAATGAAAACAGCTCGTATCCGTAGTTTCATAATATTCCAAGTTCAAGCTTTGATACAGAAAGGGGAGGAGATATTGAAGGAAAAAGGATTCCATCTGAGAGAAAACTGATGAACAAAAAAGGTCATAAATCAGACTCATGTGACAAGCACTTCACAAACTCTTCCTGAAGCACTTAATTCCCTTCCCCCGAGACTTGCTAAACTTTTGGATTCATGGATCGCCTGAGGATTGAGACGGCTTATCTCAGCGAAACCTTTAAAAAACTTATTTCGGCCTCAGAGAGAAGATTGTATACATAATCTCAGTCCTATTAGGACTCATATGACACGCACATGATACAAGTTCTTCATCATTGGACTAGTTTCCCAAACGATAGCAAAAACTGGTGGATCGGTGTATCACCTTCAGTGAGGGAGAGATTTAAGTGACAAGAACTTGAGGGTTCTTTTAGCCATGCAGAAAAATTACATATATCCGTCCCAGGAAGACTAATGACACGCACATAAAGCAAACTCCTCATGAGATTGGCTTCCTCAAAACCCCAAAAGTCAGTCATATCTTGTGAATTGGTGGATGACCTTCAGTACTGAAGCACTTTCAACTATCTGGACAATGGTTTAATTTCTAACTTTTTAAAATATATCGTCTTTACAAATTCCTATATATCTTTTTGTGTATGTATATGATAAAAGTCTTGATCATAACTATGACTTTTTTGCTGTCAAAGGTCACATTCCGGGAGCTGTAGATATAATCAGATGGACCGCCCTCTGTCGGACACGAAGACAGAGACTATAACCAGAGGGTACAAACGAAAACACTGGACGACAACAAACCGGGAATATCACTCCACTACGGACATTTCCGCTAGCAGAAGTCTCCATTCAAAGGATGGGGAACTGAAAAGGAATAAACCAAGTCGTTCACTTTCATCCATAAAACCTTCTGCGATTCTTTTTAAGCCTCAGAGAGAAGATTCTGTAGATAATCTCAGTCCTGAGACTCATGCGTCACGCACATGATACAAGCTCTTCATCACTGGCCATGTTAACAAACCCCGTCACAGCGACTTAGTCTTCGAATCACGTTGTGCTATATCCACCAGTCTACAATAAAACTTCATTTTAACATATACGACATACCTTTCAGTATATTCCAAAGCGGGTTTACACCAATGGAGAAAAGATAGATACGTGTTTTGACAACTCATGTCGATCCAAAAGCTGGTCAATCAGATGTGTTTGTTAGAAGTTCAAGCAGCTAGGACACGGAAGGCAGATGCCCTGACAATCAAATCTGTTAAATCCATAGCTGAACAGAGCGATGGAGCGATCAATAGACAACAGAACTTTACCAGCGCCCATCCCTGTGTGTAGGAGCACCAAAATGAAAGACCCAGTGCACGTCATAAAGAGTTTCTACACCATTCCAGGCCAACTGGGATGACAAGGCACACACTCCATGAAGTTTCCAACAACTAATCGATATGCATAATTCAGATCGGTGCGAGTAAATCACCTGTCCATGATGGAAAGCAACTGCTTTCTGACATCCTGTGCCCGCCGAAGAGATCGTGACTGCACAAAATTTTCAAAGCACCAAGGCCCTGAAAAGTTTTTAGCCTTCCAAGCCTCGTACACGGCCAGCAGCGTTAGATGATCTCCCTCAGGTTGGAAAAACTTAGCTCTTTTCTGGTCAGCCTGTGCTTGCTTTTCCCTGGGTCGGTAGAAAATATTTTGCGCTTGTAACATGGAGATAATGGTCAATATTTCATCACTGCAACCGAGATCGACGCTCGCAAGAAGCATCTTTGAAGAAGGTGGTTCCAGCGGAAATTCGGCCATTTTCCGTCCAAGTTTCGTTAACAGCCCTTCCTCATCTAACGCACCAAGACTGAAGAGCTGTTCCATGGCTGAAATGAGTGCTTGTGGAGGAGGCGGATCCATGAAATCGAAGGAGAGAAGATCATTAATTCCCATGGCTTTCATGTTCAAGGTTGTGACGCCCAAATTGATCCTCTGAATCTCAGGAACGGTGGTGGGTAACATTTCATTCCTGTATGCACTCTCTGTATAAAGTCTGTAGCACTTACCGGGACCTGTCCGACCGGCTCGTCCTGCCCGCTGCCTAGCTGAAGCTTGTGAAATCGGCGTGATGACAAGGGAATCAAGTCCTAGCTTGGGATTGTACACATTTTGCTTGGCAAAGCCAGGATCAACCACATAGTAGATCCCATCAATCGTCAAAGAAGCCTCAGCAATATTGGTTGCTACTACCACTTTCCTCGTTCCAGGAGGTGGAGGCTCAAAAATTCGAGTCTGCATCTCACTAGGTAAGGCACTGTACACAGGTAAAATGATCAGTTCAGGGACGTTAGGTCCTAGACCCTTCATTCTCTCGTACAGTATCTGACATGCAGTGTCGATCTCCTCCTGTCCAGTTAAAAAAAGTAAGACGTCGCCTTCCGGCTCTGTCAAGTGAATCTGCATTACAGTGATGAGTGCCGCATCCAGGTAGTCAGTTTCGGGCTGCTTTGTGTACAAAATTTCGACGGGGAAAGTACGGCCGGGGATGGTAAATATGGGGCAACTGAAAAAGTATGCCGAGAATTTCTCTGCATCGAGGGTAGCTGAAGTTACAATCAGCCTCAGGTCAGGTCTCTTCTTCACCAATCCCTTGAGAAGACCGAACAGCACATCTGTGTGTATAGTTCTCTCGTGGGCTTCGTCAAGCATAATGACTGAATAAGAGTTCAGGTCCTCATCTATCAAAATTTCTCGCAGAAGCATACCATCTGTCATGTACTTGATTACGGTCTCCGGCCCTGTACAATCCTCAAACCTAATGGCATATCCAACTTCCTCCCCAAGTCTACAACCAAACTCCTCCGCCACTCTCTTGGCAACAGACATTGCAGCAACTCTTCGAGGCTGAGTACATCCAATTTTTCCCCTAGTGGAGTAACCAGCTTCTGCGAGATACTGAGTCATCTGGGTGGTCTTTCCAGACCCCGTTTCTCCGATAACAACTAGCACCTGATTCTCGTTGACTGCCGTGACGAGCTCGTTTTTCAACTTGTAAATGGGTAAGCTCTGTCTTTGTTCCTGGATAGAGAGCTTAGATCTTTGCCCGAAAGTTGGGGCTTTGCCGAAAGCATCCTTCTTCCATTCCGGCATATCATATGCCGACAGGCCGACACCACGCAACTCCTGTGCCAAATGTCTCTCCCCAGTTTCAGGCATAGGGTCTTCCCAAGGTCGATTAAGATCCTTGGGTATAGAGTCCAACATGGTTCTCTGTTGTTGCTCGCGCAGTTCCCTTCTCTCCTTGGCCAGGGCAGATTGTGTCATTGCCGCTCTTTGTAAGGAGCCGTCCGGATTTTTCACAATCTTCACAGGAGAGACATCAATGGAGTACCTGGTCTGTCCCCTCAAAAATGCAGGCTCGTCTTCGTTTAGCTCTATTTCCAGCTCCTCTTCGGCACCCTCTTCCTGGTAAAGCATACCCCCGCTGTCTTCGTCATACATGGGGTAATCTCTAACATCTAAAACTCCAGAGGCTATAAGCTGTTTGGCTTCCCACCTTTCAGGACTGCTCATACGCTTCGAAGGCCTGCGAGAGGGATTATTCTCGTCCTCTTCTACTATGGTTATACCAGAAAGACCTTTCCTCGTGGTAGGGCCTTGACTAGAGCTCGACGGATTGGCTCTGTAAATTTCATCTTCCTGGGCAGTTGGCCTGTTCATTGGAAGAAGATCCTGACCAGTTTTCTGGTCCACATCACGCATCGAGAGACTCATCTTTTGCCCGAAGAGAGAAATGACCTTTACCCAAACCTCTTGATCCCTTTCCACAGCATCCTTCGCATTGATTACTCTCCGGGAAGCAATTTGAGAAACATGAACCAGACCTTCCTTTCGATCTCGAAGGCCTAAAATCTGAACGAAACAACCGAAGTCCATTATCCTGGACACTCGACCTCTGTAAATTCCAAAAAGCTCTGGTTCCTCAGGTGGAGGAGGAGCCGACGCAGTCACCGCTCTCGATTCTGCTCGAATACCATCTCCATCCCTGTTGTCTCTTCTTCTCCCGACTCCTCTGTCTTCATCTCCATCTTCCATTTTACTCCTATCTTCAAGCCGTGGTTTTTCTCTCCCTCGTTCACTGTCCCTACGCGACCTTCCACTGACCCGTTCACCGTCTTCGAACATGTCGTTTCCTTCCACCCTACCATTATCGTGCCCATCTTCGTCCCTTGCTCTGGCCTTGTCTTCGTACCTCCTATCTTCCCTTCCCCTATGCTCATATCTATCGCCGTATCTGTATTTTCCGTTGGTCAGCTCGTTCTCTTCAGCATCTCGGTCGCGCATTCTTTCCCTATGGACTCCATCGCGATCCCGCGTGGACCTAGAGCTCCCTCTACCTCTGTCTACGTGTGCATCCTCTCCTTCTGCTCGCTCTCCTCTCTCTCCTCTCTCTCCTCTCTCTCGTTCTCTTCTCACCCTCCGCTCTATACCTTCCTCCTCAAAGTCGACAGGTCTCGACCTCTCCTCCTTCCTAGTCTCCCTCACCTTCTCACGCTTTGCTTCGGGCTCCGCAGGCTTACCCGTGCCATTCAGCTCAAGCTCTTTCTCAAGCTCCTTGACACGTTCCTTATTATCTGGCACGGTAAGCCCTGGAAATGCCGACTTCCTGTCGCCCCCCGCTCCGGCTGCCTTGACTTTCTCACCCTTGCTTTTGGGAGGCAAAATCGCATGTATGATCGTGAGCAGAGTCTTCACAAAGTACTCAGGCATGTCTGCGCCATGGTTCTTCAACGCCGAGGCAAAAGACTCGACAGTATCACTGTTTTGAGCTAAATCGATTATAAACTCCGCAAGGGTCTTGTCCGCACATCCTACATGCGACTCTAACTCCGTGCACACCTTTGAAACGAGAGACAAATACTCCAATTTCTTCAAACCATCCATTGCGCCAATGTCGAAGACACAAACTTGTTGGTCTCGGCGCCCTAAATTCTCTCGCCTACCTCTCACACATTCTCAAAGCTTCCCGCAATCATCTCGAGAACTGGAGAAGATGTTCTCTGAGTAAAATGCAGTGAAAGTCTCAAACAGGACATGCAGAGAGGTCCAAACTGTCGAACATGTTGTGATCTCTCGCACTAGAGGGTACAGAATTCCGAACCCCGCGGGCGTTTAGGGTTTCAGTGTTTTCTCGTTGAACTATGACTCCGTACCTTCGACACACGAAAGCATCGTATCTCGGGCACAACTATCTTCGAGTCTGAATGCTACTTAGAAAGACCCCACAGCTCATCCAAAACTTGTGACCCTCTATCAGCAGTTCAAATGTTATCGTACCAGGAAATTACTCGTGATATGGATGGCTCTTCAAACCTACAGTAAGAAGTGAACCCTACAAGAACTTATAACGACACCGGCTACTGCCCACCGCCAACACTGGTTCTAGCTGCAAGGAAACTGAGAAGTTGCGTCTGAACTTACAGTGATCGGGGAAGGTGTTCAATTTTAAGTCGTCACTACGGAAACTTGTATATGCGAGTCTGATGTTCGATGAGCACAAAACGGGTCTACAGAGTAGCGCCATACGACATTGACCATTCAAAACGGCTTCTCCCCAGTCAAATCGGAAACTTAACGCGAGTGGAAATTGCAATGGCCTGTATATCTCGTTGCTCCCACCTTCAGGAAAGCATTATGGCTTAGAAAGATTGAAGGAAATGTAGTCACTTCAATCTTGCCTGCGCTGTGATGAAGTAAGTACACGTGTATTTGTGAAGTACAGGTTTGTATTAAGTGTAGTTTTAATTGGCAAATGTACAAGTTTGGTGGTTAGAGAGAGATCATGAACACTTCAAGAGATGGTTCATCGCAACGGACGTCTTGCTCTGAGGGTCAGAAGCCAAAGTGGGATGTTGGGACTTTGGGATTTGAAGGGTTAATTCATAATCTTTTGCCACATTATTTATCTTTTCCGGTGTGTGGTATGAAAAAAAAAGTATCATAGTTAAAATAAATTATGATAAATTTTATTATTTATAGATTGTAAATGAATTTTAATTTATTTGTAATTATGAAAATAATTCATTTGAATAAATAACAGATACTTTGAAAAGTATTTAAAATGATTTTATTACTCTTATATAAATTTTGTGTGATAATTTTTCACTTGAATAATATATTCAATTTTAGTGAATCAATGACTAGATGTATATAATTAATATTTACACGGATTATATATTTGTAATTCTCAATTAATATATTTATTTTCAATCCAAAAACATATGGATTTTTTACGTGTTGTGATAATCAATCCAATTATTTAGTTATCTATCAAGCATGAATATGGAGATTAATGATAATTCATTGTGATTAAATTTTTCTTCATTTTAGCTTTAATTAGATAAAGATAATTATATATATTTCTGATTATATAAAAAATCTTAATTTAGATTAACAAAATATTATCAATATTTCAAATCTTGAATTAAAAAATTGTTTATGTCACTCGGATTGAAATTAGATTTAGATTCAAAACGAGTTAAAGTGAAACCTAAGATTTCATTTTTCATATATAAATAGAAATACAAACATAATTTGCATGTAATATTTAATAAAGATCTCGTTGTTCCGTATATAATATCGATAAGCCACGAGAACAGTGTCTTTTTGATATTGTGTATTTGATTATGGTTTATGGATTCTCGCGCATGTGCTCCAATACAAAAAAAAATAGGAAACAAAATGAATGGTAAGAGTAAAAATAATAAGCTGTTTGACAAGTTACACACAATATTAGCTGGCGATACTTTCAAGTAGGCAATGTCATTCTTGCCTTGTATGTACGCAGCTTATCAATAGCATAGGTTAAAAGTCCCCTCCTGAGCCCTCCCGTCAATACTGCGCTCGCTTAACGAACTAGGATATTTTGAACTATTCTACCTCGGCAAGGGGATTTACTAGCCATGTGAATGGCTCTAGAGCTGGGTTCCATCCTCCCTCGCCTGCGATATTCAAAACTGATTTATCAACCACGGCTTTTGCTGATGGAAGAACGACGAAGAAAACATTCAGAGTGGTCAAAAGTTGAGCTTTGAGAGTAAAACAATTGCCGCAAATGTGTACATAAATGCACAAACATAGAAGGCCCTTCGTTACATAGAATCTGTCTCATACTTATCATTAAGATATATGTAGGTGAGTCTCTAGAGTCCATTCCTTCAGGATTGGTTTTGCAGCTTAGGGTTTTGCTGTATTCTTATGTAGGGCTATACGCCATTGCCACATCCACTGCTGACCTGACGAATCATATCGTCAATCAGCCAAATTCTATATTTTAAGTTACAACCAACATTCCTTTTAATGTGTAGACAAGTCTAGTCCATTCATACGTTCACTGGCACCCATTTGTGGTTTCAGTGACTCCCCAATCATTAAAATCTTTACTAGAACTAGATTGGCTGAACAAATTACTCCACTACAACTCGCCCATACAGCGATCTTTCCAACCCTCTTCTTAGAGAATCACCCTTGAAAGACTTTAGATGTGCTTCTCCTGAAGTAAACCATTCGTGAGTCCCTTGATTATCTCCGTCTTGGCACACTACCTCTCCCATACCTCCTTAGCTTCTTTTTCTTTGAGACCTAAGTACAGTACAGTACCGCCAATCGTCTATTCTGCTCTCGACGTCATCCAGTTGAAAACTCACTTTCCGTCCTCTTTAATCCCCTCGTTTAGCTCTCACCTTTCCTCAATCTTTCCCTCATCGGGTTTAAATTTTCGTTCTTGGCGTCCTATCCTTCGTGCTGTGTGCTGTATCTGAAACAGAAACATTTCTTGGAGTTTGCGGGTGCTGGGACACCGACTGGGTTAGATTTACTTCTCATGTAGGAAAGGCCGTACCATTTTCGACCCCAAACGACCGTGGCAATATATAGAGGTGCGTTTGAGTGTGACACTTCGGAAGATTCTCTATTCTCTTAAGAACTCTTGCTAGACACTTTCCTTAACCTGTTGCATGCTTGCAAGAATAGAATTTGCAACTAGAATGAAGTGACGTAATATAATCAATCAGACGAGAATCGAGGCTGACGTTTTACTCTTAACAACTCTTGAGATTACCCTTGACGTTTAAAGTTTTTATCACAACGTAAAATGTACAAACCAAGAGGGACAAGGCGGAATATGGTCAAAGGAGGCAAGAGAGCGGAGGTAAGTTCGATCTAACAGTAAATGAAGAAATCCGCCAGTATCTTGCTGTGTGCTCTTCCGTGGACTGAAGGTAAGAATCAAGACAAGTTGACAGGACCAGTTCGAAGGGTCTGGGACTGAGAGGACTTCCCGCAGATTCCTGTGCAGTTATTTCAAACTACGCATCCAGACTTTCTTCTTTCAACCACTAAACGAACCCATCCATTTTCACGAAGCAATACTCAAAGCTGGAATAAATTTCTTGAAATTGCAAACGCCTCTTTCGCAGATTTGATGCACAATGTAGACACTAGACAACACATGTTGTTCAACATGGACAGGGGTGCCGAAGAGCACTGATACATTCTCACGATGCACACAAACGGACAATCCATCCCTTACCTTGCAAACACACGGATTCCAATGTGATGCAAACCATAGATGCTAGACAACACAAACTGTTGAACAACATGGACTTGGATGCACAAAATGTTCCAGAACCATGTAATGTAATCAGCTCTCGAAAACGGCATAAACACACAGCGACGAGTCGTCCATCACACGGAAATTACTACACACTCAAGCGACCCCGCAAGCCAGCCCGCTTTCATGCCTTAATAGATTGTCAAACAGGTTTACACAACACTCTCAAGTCAGTGAATAGAAACAGCCGATTGCTGTTTGAATTCCTCATGGGGAAACACTCAGAAACGACGCCCGAAACAGAAACCCAAAATCGACTTTCATCTTTCCATTCAGCTTAAATTGTGGGCCAAGACGAACGCTATCATGAAAGCAAAACTGTAAGAGCACGCAATTTTGATTTTCTTTCCTCAAGCATTGTGACGCTTGAATGTCCACAGCTTTACGAATAGACGAATCCAAAGACACTAGTCCTAAGCTAGTAGTATGACTACCCAAGCTTCTCAAGTCATCTCATAGTCAATACTGGATCTCTAAAGTTCCTACAGATAAGAGACTAATAACAGCATACTGAAGTGACGATTAAGAGTAGACACAGTAATCCAATGCACTTACTTTGCACGAAGCCAAGTTTTCCGGCTTTCGATATAAGTGGAACTCGTTATCCAGAGACATTTAGCAAGAAGTCCAACCCCAAATATCACTATGCTGACTTTTAACTTTATGGTCTTTATGAACTAACATAGGCTCTGTAATGTGACAGACGAGGTTCAAAATCCAGTGCCAAACTTCAGGGCATGCTCTGGATAGAGTGTTCCGAAAGGTCTGGGCAAACAGTGAAGACTCTTTGAGTTTGTGTTGCATTTGATAGATACATCAGGATCAGAAGAGCTCGGATTTTCTGATACATTCTTAGCTCTTGACTCTTTAGCGCACCCACAAAGTCATACTTGGGCATCTGTTGGCAAGGTAAATAGTACTGATCACGTACGATGACTGACTTGAATAAAGTTGCATCTGTGTGCGATATGTCATTGAGTGGACAGCGACTCAGTACCACTCTTCTTACCATCTCCGACACCAGAAAGAGCATCACCATATACCTTCATGCTAAATGCGCTGTCCTCAGATTTTTGAACGGGTATTGCAATTTCGATATTTGCCAACCTTTGGTAAACGGCAGCAATTTGATTTTTCCAGAAAAGGGCAATGTCGCTTTCTAGATTGCGATCTGGAATATTGAGCAAGTATTCATCTATACCTCCTGCTTTGTCGATACATCGGAGTGCGTGTGTAGTAATATGAACACGAATGTACTTGTCCAAAGCAAGACTAAATACACGCTTGGACTGTACATTTGGCTTCCAAGTCCTACGTGACCTGATTCAGAATTGGACAGGTGAACTTAGGGTGATACACGCAATTTCAAGTCTCCCAGCATCGCATCAGTTCCCCACATTACAAGAGCAAAATATTCCCAAAATCTTCTACACTACAAATCGACACAGCTGCAATTTATCTCTTGATCCCACAGGCCATAAGCAACAATCAGATACATTCAACTTCCTCTGCTTAGCAATTACATACCTTATCCTGCAAATGACATTCAGAATCCAACTCCTGGGAAACTTCAAACTTCGGGATCAATTTGTAAAATGACAGAAACTCACTTGTTCCCACCATCCTCACTAACTTTGTTGCCAAACTGAATGTGCCGACCAGCGTATAATCCCCGCTTCGCCCGATTCATAATAGTCACCACCCGCGTCGACATCGTGATCGAACCTCGACTGATTTGATCTTCTCCTTACCTCGCTGCACAAAGCGATTCTGGCAATTCTCTCGACAATGGAGTATCAGAAGGTGAAACCCTAGTATAACTCATAACACAATGACAAGAATTAACTAATGCCTACCAACGCTCTTTTCGCCCGCAGATAGAGGGTATTTGCACTTCCAGTGTTCCTTCGCATTTTTTCGGCCGAAGATAGTTGGATGCCACGGACACAAAGTTGCTGGAAGATGTGCCGAGCAAGACACTAAGCAATTAGATTCCTGTGTGCTGTAAACTTATGGGTAGGTATAGGGAATTAGACATTGTTATAAATCATCGGAGAGAGACGATGAATGCTTTATAGTAATGGTAATAGATAGAGCCCAAAGAGTAAAAAGATTGAAAAACACAATACAAACAATGGAAAAGACCCCAAAGGCCAATCACTAGCTAGTGTTAAGAGCACTAGAATGGTAACTAATAATGTACCTAATATAATAATCTAAATCAAAAGGAACTAATTATAACAAAAAATAGAAATTCTCCACATCTATATTATGAGCAAGCCAAATGTCTTTGTACTTAGAACTAATAACAAATACATGCTCTTCATACTCAATGTACACACCGTCACATAATCTACAAATACATTTACTCCTATCAATATTAAGCCAACGTCCTTCCTCAATTCCAAGCATATGAGATCCAGTTCTATGCATGGCGATAATATGACGTAAAGATGTAGAGATTCCTCCAAGTAGGTAAAACTGTTCACAATGATCAGGCATAGAATTCACAAGAGTTTGATAAAACTTCATCTTGGTGTCGCGCTTGCTCCAAATAATGTTCAGAAACTCCTCCTTTAGACGCGCTATAGGTTGCAAGTCTTAATCACGTTCCGTCACATTCCACCTCAAAGACCAAGTTATCACATCCGCTAACCATCCTTTGGCACATGTGGTACTCAAAGCTTGAAGAGTAAAGCGAGAAGCATCAAGGAATCTCACCCTTCTAATGTAAGTGATGGTCAAGTATAGAGTTTCAACCTCTAGAGGTAAACAACATATTCCTCAAGAAGAATAGCATATGAAGTTTGAATTCTCACACCCAATTCTTCTTGTAAAAATATCTTCTTCATTCTCTCCACATGCTTTCAACCTGTCTTCTTACAACCAAAATCCACACTTGGAATCCATATAATACTACTGGCAACACTAAGGTTCTAAATATAAATTTCCTAAGACTTCAAGACACTAGATGAGCTCTTCTACACCGATTTAACAATGAATATAGAGCTTTGTAATCATCTTCAACTCTCTTTTGCACGCAAAGTGCACAACTATAATCATTAGAAAAATCAATGCCTATATATTTATAACTCTTTACCTCTTCTAATTGTAGATCCTTGTAACATAAGTAAAACTTGGATCTAGTGCCCATTATCATGACTTTAAACTTCTTCATATTTACCTCGATCTCATTTTGGATACAAAAGCTAGCCAAAGTGTATAGATGTTTCTGTAAACTAATTGCATCATGTGTTAGTAATATGATATCATTTGTATACAAGGGAGCTTTGATAACAAAATTTCCAAGCTTGACACATTCACTATCACATGGCTCCAACCATGTAAAGTTGTGTTTATATCAAATTCGTGTACATGACAACTGTGATGATGTGTTCAGCAGATCATCAGCAGACCATCTACTAAATATCATGTATTTGCCACATATTCTAGCGGCAGCATCGATGTTGTGCATGCAATTCCCATCAATCACAACTAAATTTGAATGTGAAAAGAAATTATCAAGATAACGTCCGTCTCAGTAGAATTTTCATTCTACTCAGAATGAAAATTCTCATATGGCTTTATGAGGAGAATATTCCAATACAATTCATCCAAACCGAATCAAGCTCGCTTGAATTTTTGGTTCAAGTCAAATTTTTATAGTTGAAAAAAAAATTGTCTTTATCGCTTTATGAGGAAAATATCCACATATAATTTACCCAAACCAAATTGAGCTCGATTAAATTTTGCTTCAAGTTAATTTTTTACAACTAAACAATCTAGAGTAATCTAACAATAATTGAACTTGTATTCATTGTGTTCCGCACACAATACAAGTCATGCATCTCAAAAATCACGCTACAAGCATTCGTGCACAACTTTGATAGTGTGCTCTAGCGTAGTGTGATAGATACATAATACTCATCAGATGGTATATGTTTATGATTAATAACACTGTTTGCGTCAAACATCATGCTAGATTACATTGGCACATGAGGTACATGGCACGAAGTGATCACCTTGTAAGGAGAATTGCATGCGATCAAGAGCAATGTGGTGACACTCACATGTCCATAGATCGTCTCAGAATCTAGCATTTCTTGCAATCTTTCTTCGATATGTTGCCTTATCTCGATATAATAATATAAATAATGTGTGCAGTCCTCGGTGAGATTCCATAGGGTAAAACAATAAGTGATGGATCCCATCACACCATTTGTGTTACAATGAAATCCCATCAAGTATGTTTATGATATCTGCTCATAGATTTCCAACAACCTTGGACATCGTGATTGACGTGACAAATAATGCAAACTAGGAGCAACGGATTTGATGATAAGCATGAGCATAAGATCCACAAGATGATTATGCAGCGGTGTGGTGAAAGTGTATACATGAGATTCTAAGACTACTTGTGGATCATACGTCACTAGCATCGGTAGTACCCTACACTCCTCCTTACATATTCAACACAACGTCAAATTTGCTGGAATTTATACTTGTTATGTGGATGCATGTTATTATAGAAGTATTTGTCCATATCAAACTTTGTATATACATAGTGAAAATTTGTTATATATTAACTTCAAATGATTAGTTGATAATTCAAAGACTTCACTTAAGATTGAATATCTCAAAACATATTGAATCTAGCCTTCTGATAAAAAAATCCAATTTGTTGATCCAAAATAACATACACATATGAATCACACAAATTTACACATGATATATTTAGTTTGAATGTTGATGATATCAAAAAAATTGCTTCATTAATCAGGAACTAATATGTGATAGATAGATTTCACAAGCAATTTAAAATAATTTTATCATTTGAATCTAATTTATAAGTGATACTATGGATTATATAGCGATATGAAAAACTTAATACAACAATCATTTTTTTAGTTTTGGTTCTAATATAAAAAATTTAAATTTTATTGTTATTTTTATATATAATTCATATAGTTTTGAACAACACAACTTTTTTTATATAGATTAAAATACAATCTTTGCAAAAATATGAAAAATTATATAAAAAATGAATTAATAAATATTCTGATATAGGTTTAGTATAATGTTTTTAAAATCTCTATAAAATTTAATTTCATTGAAAAATTATTTAAATTGATTAACTTGAATATTTTGTGAAACACAATCTAAAGTCAATGTTGATGCATTAGTCTATATTCCAATTCAATTGTGTAAAAAATTTTTTTTTATTAATAATCAAAATACAATATTGGTTGTTAATTTCATCACTCGTTGATACTTTTATCTCACAAAGATAATTAAAGCATAATTTTCACTAAAATCTGTATTTAATGTCTGAAAAAGATTGAATTACCTCCTTTGTGATATATTTTTAAAATTCATGTGCCAAAATCTAAGTAATCAAATAATAGCTTATTAATGTACAACTTATCATCAAACAAAATTCATCATGTTTAAGAATTTAAAATTTCAATGCAAATCTATCAAATGTATAAATTATTTTATTCACATGAATCTAATAATTTGAATTTTGAATAGAGCAATATTAAGTTTATTAAAAATGATAAAAAAATTACAATTTGTATTATTTAAAAAATTCTTTTATATCAAGTAACTCTTCAAACAATAAAATTTTCATCAAAATAATCCAACACACTCAATTTTGAATTTTATAATAAAAAATCGATCTAATAAAAAATTGATATTGAAAAGATTCTTAAATTTTATGATTTTCTAAAACAAATTTTGTAGATTTCTGTCTACAAAATTTATTTGACGTAAAGAAATTCAATAATTAATATAATACCATAGACAATGCATGTCTTTCTAAACTGCATTTAAAACAAAGATAGTAACTAAATACAACAAGTGGAATATATTTTGGAGATTCAAAAACATGGTGTTTATTCTTCACTTGTGGAAGTGAAAATGCAAGCGTATGTTATCAAAATTGTGTCTTGAAAATTGCAGCTGGTTGTGACGACTAAAATGATGAAACTATTGACAAATGCAAAGAAAGTGAGCAAACAATATATGAACTTACAAGAAATGAAGTCTCATCTTTTTTTTGGGAGCTTATTACTCTCTTCTTGCATTTTCAAAACTCATTATGAAATTTTTGTTTTGCCATTTAAAGCTATTGCAATATTTCTTTCTCTTATTCTACTCTTGCATTAATTTCACTATTATGAACTTCTTTGGTTTGTCATTCAATGCTGTTGCATGTTTTTTTTCTCTTCTTCAGGGCTTCTTGCTCTTTTTTTTTTTTTACATTTTCAAGCATTAGTATGCATTTTTTTTATTCAATGTTGTTGCAAGTTTTTTTCTCTTCTTTGGAGCTTCTTACCCTTTTTTGCATTTTCAAGCGTCATAATGAACTTTCTTGTTTTTCATTTAAAGCAAATGCAAGTATTTTTCTTTTCTTTTGATTATTTGATTTTTTGATTTACATTTTCAAGCGTTATTATGACCTTTTGGTTTCTCGTAGTTTCTCATTTTTTGATTTTTTATTCATAGTTGTTGCAAATTTTTTTCCTTTTTGAGCCTATTACTTTTTTGAGCATGATTCTCAAGTTTATGGTTTGACATTCAATGCTATTGCAATTTTTCTTTTCCTTACCGTTAGACAATGAGCATTTCACTACATTCCAATATTTAATCTTTTGTTAAAATGATCCCAAAACTTTAAAAAGAATAACTAAATGAGCTAAAATGAATTGGATTTGAAGCATGATACTCTTTGATACTTAGTCAAGGAATTGGTGTTAATGAAAAACAAAATTAAGCGTTTTGTTTGTATTTAAATGAACGT